CTTAACAAGGAAGCTGTAGGGAACCTTATGCAGTTAGTTTGACAGCTATAATACGATAGGTGTGATTCACGACCGGTTTTTGATGATTGCAAGTATCAATAATAAATATAAATAATAATGATGATAAAAATCCAATTAGTAATCTAGATATAATCTAGATAGCACTGTCTGACAGTGACCAATGTAATGACGCAAGTACTGTTAGATTCTTCAGATTAAAAATAGAGGGACCATAAATAGTTTATGGAAGTTTTCCCCAAAATTTTTTGAATGTCATTTCAGGAACTTCATCTTCCTTATTTGAAGCTTTCAGTCCAGAAGAGGATCATTGCAAATCGCATAATATTTTAAATTCAAGTTTACAAGAGACCACTATTTCTCGGTCTTTTTCAAATGTATTCTCTATTTTTTTATAGCATATTTTTTATAGCCGGTAAACGAGCATACAGATCACCTGATGGTAAACAATTGACGTCGCCCATGGACACCCGAAACACCAAGGCGTTACAAGTGCGGTACTGGCCTTTTGGGAATCGGGAATTTGAGGATTATGGAGGATTCGAGGATTCGGTAGACTAGGGAGGGGGGTAATTGGGCCTCCGGTAACCTTACTCACACGACGAAACACAACGCAAGCGTTGTTTCACGTCGGTTTTCTGTGAGGCCGTGGTCTCACTCCGGTCGAGCCGGTCAATTCGTGGCGAAGCATGGCTCTCCCACACTTACTCTTAATGGACTTTGCCCATGAGATCCATGGGAAGATTAGAGTTGGTGACGATGAGACTCTTAGGAAGTAGAAGTAAACTTACATTTGTATGACTATACTCATAACCATCAGGATTCAGTACAGGCACAAAGAACCATTCATAGGTCATGGCTATATCTTTGAACTCCGTATCATTGGAATATGGAGCATGAATTAATTCGTTAATGAAATATGTTACGAAGGCTGGTGAAATCCATTCTCTTGCATGAATGCCTCCTTCTACTATAACTTTAGATCTGGAATTATAGAAAAATGTTAAAACGAAAATCGTAAAAAAGATTTCGTATGTCGTTACATACATGTACACAAGAACACATCTATATAAATAAAAATGAATAAAATTGTTGTTCGTTAGTCTCGTTAAAACTCGAGAATGGCTGAACCGATTTAGCTAATTTTGGTCTTGAAGTCTAGGGAAGGTTTAAAAGGTGAGAAACATTCTTTTAGGCGGTACGAAGTTTGCCGGGTCAGCTAGTTTATAATAAAAACAAGTACATGGTGCTTCGCGGTGCGAAATGCCGGTGTACAGCTTAATGTTGTGGCCTAGGCATGAAGGATCGATTTCACGGCGCTGATTTTGAGTACCAGCCAGTAAGATTCATACTTTAGCAGGTGACATGACGGTTCGGTGAGATTAAACTTGTATTTAGATTGTCTGCTTTGTCAGTCACAGCACGCAATTCAAAATCAATACAAAATTAAATGATGTACGCTGCTCATGAGGAAAAGTCCCAATTTGTCTTGAAACTAAAAGACTTTTCTCAATATTTACGTGAGTCAACCGGTATCCAATTATCAATAAATGGTATAATGAGCGTCTCATAAAAGACCCTGCATCTCAGTAGCCACATTAATGACTACTCATCTAATACCACAGAAGCCAGAATAAAATAAAATCGTTACCTCATTTTACTCCCTTTTAAAGTGATCTCCACGGCTAGGATTTCTCTGTTTTCATGCGACCTTCCTATGGTATTGACTTTCATTTCTGTAGGATAAGTATTTGCCAGATCTCTGAGCCATTCGTATATGTCATTTAATCGATAGTAATCGTTCCAATCGAAAGATTCCATTTTTCTTCTGATGTACTGTTTGACTGACTGCTTGTCGAATGCTCTAGAAATAATAATGCCAAATATTTTTGTACTAGAATAAACAATTTTAGTCTATTCCATTCAGTAGTACCTAGTGCAGGTAAATTAACATCAATGTACTAGATTACTATTCCTGTTTTTACCACCAACGTCTCCTATATTTGAAGAGCCCTTTTAGCTAAGGTATTATTTTACATTAAACATTATATATTATATTACATTTAACATAATTTTAGTTTTAGTAATCTGTAAATGACACCTAACAGTACAAGTAAGGGATTATTTAGGTGGTACGTCATGTTAAGTAACTCCTAGTTACGAGATGGTTTCCAGGTGGTTGCAATTGAGGTTTAAGTGCTTGCGTATTATTGTGAAGTGACCTATATATAAAATAATAAATGAATCTTGTAAACATTTTTTTTAGATTGACATACATAAATAACATCACGCCTTTCATCCCCGAAGGGGTAGGTAGAGGTATACATTATGGCACTGTACAATGTAACCACCCACTTTTCTCTATTTATGTTATGAGTCTCATGTAAGAGGGGGTCAGCCTATTGCCATATGCCGGGCACAATTCCAGACTCCGTGCTACTACTGAGATTTTTGCCAACGAGGCAGTCACACGAGACAGGCAGAGCACTGTATTCGTTTATACTGCATTGTATTCGTGACTTACACTCACTGACACGATTATTAGTGCATAATTAGACATTTCTAGTTTCGTTGAAAATTGTTTTTATAGTATTTTCCAAATACGAGGCGCATGTACGTAAACTGAGAATATCGTGGTGCACATGCACAAAAAATATCCCATTTCTAATATCCACTACGATTTTATAACTATCGTGGACATACTAAATTAATGTCGAAGCGATGTCAAGTCGAGTAGGCTGCGCGACATTGCCGCGACAGCGCACGTTGTTTATGAAGAAGAGCCCCTCTGTGGTTCGAAACTAGAAGAGTTTTTCTCAGTATATTCACGAGAGTAACCCGCGATTTTAATTACTACTGTATCTAGTAGTATCGGAGGCTCTCCACCGTATGCCTACAGCGAACTAACCTATTCTGCCCACATTGCGTGTACCTTAACAATCTGGATAAGCTTGTGGTTATTGGTATTTAATACAACAAATATTAAACTCTAAACAAAAAAACAATGAGACTCACTTTTGCACATCCTCAATTAATGTAGTAATATACAGTCCGAGATTGTTAGCCTCTTTTAGAAATAATTCTTTGTGTTCAGGATCAACAACTAAGTCCACGGGCTTGAACAACCTTCCTGGTAGTCTCCAAAAATTTACATATTCAACTTCTGTAAGATTTTGAAAATATTCTAAATGCTTTGCGTCCACTGGTATGCCCCTGTACAAGGTGTAATTATAAAACTTTATACAGTCACAAAAAGATATAGGAAAAAAGAAAATTAAAAAATATATTAAATTAATATCCATTTTCGTCGATTACGTTCATAAAAATGTTTGTGAGTGGATTGTGTACATTTTTCATGACCTTTGAGATTTCACATTATAACTTAAATAATTTGACAGTTTTTATTACAACATACTGTGTCAATAGGACGGTTTCAAGCATTTGCAAGTAAAAAGTTTTACCTAAGAAGGTTCGTTTTAATATAAATAGCACAATAGCAGCTTCACGATTAACTAAAGAGGTGTAGGTAGAATATTAAATAGAAAAAGTAATATTAATTCAATCTTTTGACGACTGTCTCGTTGGTCGAGAGGTCGCAATTGCGACTACCCGGCAAGAGGTCTCGGTTTCGATTCCCGGGTCGGGCATAGTATTACTGGGCTTTTTAAAAAATCTCAGTAGTAGCACGGAGTCAGGAATTGTGCTCGGTATATGGCAATAGGATCACCCCCTGTTACATGGGACTCATAACATAAATAGTGAAAAGTGGGTGTTACATTGTACAGTGGCATTAAGTGCCGTAACGTTCGCCCCGTGATGTTATATTGTTATATATATATTAATGTATTGTTCTCTAACCTTCTAGTGAGTACCTACATATATAGACGATAATTTTTCAACGAAAAATGTAAAAGATTTAAACCAAAATACAACCTTCCATTGCATTTAAACGTAGTACTAGAACGAAGTCCATAAATTAATAGAATGAAACCACAGGAGTCGTCTTCTGTCTTCGAGCAATTAAATATCCGTAACCGTACTTGGTGCTTAGCCAATAGTCGAGTCAAGGCGTCTTGGTTACCGTAATGTCAACCACCTGGGTCGTTACCTCAACTGATTTGTATCCCTTGATGTTTAGTATCGGCTACGGCTAATGTAGACTACTTTTTATATTTAAAATTATTTGAGTGGGGTTAAATCATCTTTTAATTTGTCTTGGGTGAGGTAAGAGTGAGTGTGAGACTTTTATTGACTAAAACCACCCTGTTCCTACTTCTGCTTTGAGCCGAAAACCTAGTAACCTGTTAAATTGTCCGCAGCTTCGGGTCGGTCATCAGCCATATTGGATTCCATCTGTGGTGGTCTGTTGGCTCTTTGAAGTGCGTGCGGATCACCAAGCGCCTTAAGTTGGTGTGACGATTTTATAAAGTGGCTGATAGTGGCTGAGGGCGAGTGGTAAAGATCGGACTTAGTGGCGTGTTATTAATGAGACCTGTATCTAGTATGTTTTTATAATATACATACTAAATTAACTAAAATCGAGGGTCACTCACGTGAATATACTGAGAAAACTCTACTAGTTTCTTCAGTGAACTGCGCGACGCGACGTCACCGCAACCACGCACGCTGCTTATGAGGAAGAACCATTCTGTGATTCTAAACTAGTAGACCTTTTCTCAGTATATTCACGTGCGTAACCCGCGATTTTAATTAATACTGTATCTAGTAGTATCGGAGGCTCTCCACTGTATGCCTACAGCGAACTAACCTATTCTGCCCACATTGCGCGTACCTTAACAATCTGGATAAGCTTGTGGTTATTGGTCTTACTTCCTCGCCTCTCAGTATTTTTTGTTCACCATCAAATCGTTGTCCTCAATTATTTTTCATTTTTGTAGTCTTGGTTTTCATAAAATAATTGGCATAAAAAAAAACAAAACGATAGAATAAAAAACTGTTCATTTTAAAAGTAAAATAAAATAAGTGGTACAAAATAATATGAAAGTAACTGAGGCCGGCTTCTGAGCTTTGTTGATGAAGTTCAACCTGACTCTTCTAGGCTTGGCGACCATTAATTCTGTTAGACCAGAGACGGTTTCTTCACACGTTGGCAAGATTTGGTTAGGAGGGAGCGCGAAGCCATAAGTCCCTTCGTCTCGAAGAAGGAACGTAAAGACGTATCTGAGAACAAAGATGTTGATGTAGAAATGCTATAGGAAGATAATATTTTCTGTGGACCATTAAGTTAATGTTACGCATGCTAATTTGAAGCACGAAAGCATGCTTCAATTGAGCACTTGTCAGTTAGTGGCAAGACCGACATCGCACTTGCAACTACTCGGCTAACAAGGCAGTCTTTGTAAGCGTATTTGTAAGCGTCGTAACAATAAAATCCACCACAGAAATATTAAATATATTAACTTCTTTAATATATCTGTGAAATCCACTGTTGTAATGATTGTTTGTTTTTTTTAAACCGTTACCCTCCATTATGACTTTCTCCTGTATCGAGGGTGCGTTTACTAACATACAATTTCACATACACATGACACCCAGACTCGGAACAACAATTTGTGGATCACATAAAGATGTGTTCCGTGCGCCCAGCCACCGCGACAACTGTGCAGTCAGAGTGGTACATGGCGTTAGAATTTTATTCCGTAGTCTTACAATTTATCTTCGTCCTTCAACCATAACCGTCGACGTCTTGTGATCCTCCTTTTGCCATGAATCTTGACTTCAGGTAACCTTTGAGGTATGGAGGTACGCGTACGTATAAACGTAGTGAATTTTATTCAAATATCTACCTATAATAGATCTATCTGTAATGAATAGCATGAGACTACCGCTCGAATACTGAAAGGCTACTAAATTTTTAGTTGTACTGAAATATCTTGCTATCTGTCATTATAGAACTATATTTATGCGTGACTTAAATTGAGTGACTTTTGAGTATGTCAGCGTTAAGACCTGACTTACTTAGAAGTTTAACTTGATTTAGCTCAATGCATCTATTATGGTTGACTGTATTAATATTTATTTATTTGTCAAACCCCTTTAGTGGGAGTATCAAAACCAAACTAACTTACAAACCATTTATTTCTATGGCTTTAAATATATTTTTTCTTACTAAATTTTCCCCTATAATATCGAAGTATTTTCCCCAAGCTCAATATAATAATCTCCGAAATATAAAACAAAAATATAACATAATCCTTTCATAAAAAACGGATATTACCTCACGCCGTGAATTCTCTTCACCCAACTGGCACTGTTGCCGGAAATACGAAGGCCTGATACAGGAAAAAAGGTATAATTCACGTGTATAAGCAAAAAAATAAAATTCATACTTTATAACGATAATAATAAAGGTCATTTTCAAACTCACCCAAAGTATCATAAGTTGTGCCGATACCGTATTTTGTGCCGTACATTTTGTACATCTTCAATATTGCCTGTTTACCGAAATTTTCCTGAAAAAAAGATGAAGCATAAGGGAAGGAGAGGATGATACACAAAATGGTGATGAAATAAGATAGGCACTTATGGTAACTATCTTGACACATACTAGATTAAATAAAAATAACGCTCTACACGTAAATATACTGAGAAAAGCTATACTAGTTTAGAGTCATAAAGGGTCAGTAGGCAGTTGGCTGCACGAGTTTCGTCGTCACGTTCACAGAGGAAAAGCCCCGCTTAGTTCGGTACTAATGAAATAGATATACTAAAAATCCAAGTGATTTTTGGATTTCGAAATTCCCAAAACTCAATTGCTACACGAATGACCTTGAGACTAATAAGTCATTAAATAACAATTAGTAAAAAAATAATTTGACCTTCAATTCACCGTCTAGACATAAAATTATCAGATATAAAGCATCAATAGTTTAAATAAATAAAGTTGGCGCCTATCTTAAGTAATAATCTTTTGATAAATAGATTGAAAAAGTGCATACCATAAGCCGATTTTACATTCAACAAACTAAGACTCTGATCTCAATTCGTCAGAATATCAGATACCTCGATATATATTTTTTGGAACAATTATGTATTGAAGCAAAACTGTGACCAGTAACACAATTTTTTTATTGGATAAGTAAGTAAACGATTAGACAGATCACCTGATGGTAAATAATCGGCACCGCCCATAAAGACCCGAAAAACTAGAGGCGTTAAAAGTGCGTTATTGGCCTTTTGGTGATAAGGAATTTCAGGATGGTTCAGGATTCAAGGATTGGAGAGTTTAGGGAGGGGGCAAATTAGGCATCTAGTAATATTTATTGATGGTATTTAAATTTAGTGTCTACTTCTGCCTCAATTCAGAATTCTAACAGGCAGTACCATACTGACAAAAAGCTCTACTAGTTTCGAACCACAGAGGGGTTCTTCCTAATGAGCAGCGTGCGCGGTCGCGGCGACGTCGCGCAGCTCACGCGTAATTTAGTATGTCTCACGATAGTTATTATAAAAACAGGTTCCGGCTCGAAGTGCAGGAGTACGAACGGGGTGGTTTTTAGTCAGTAAGAGTCTGACACTTCCTCCCGCCTCACCCGGGCGGAAGAAGTCATTGGATGATTTTCCCCCTCAAAAAAATAAACAAAGGCAGTACCATATTACAGAAAAAAATTACACCAACCATTTCACCATAATTGTCGAGATGGTTTATTCTATCCGCATAAGGTATTATAAGTTTTTGTCCATAAGCATGAAAGGAGAAGTAAAAACGTAGGTTCTGTTTCTTTTCAGTTATGAAGTCTGCTAGTACTCTGGCTTCGGGTTCGGAAAACGGACGCGGTCCACAATAGTTATCCGCTTTTGGATCCGTACTTGCGCCATATTCTATAAATAAAGCAATGGTATAGTCATATAGCTTATAATGTATAGTATTTGTTTACTATTCATTCTATAGTCAGAATTTTAATTCGATTCCAGATTTGACATTAGCTACTGTAATTTTGTGAAATAATGATACCACATATAATAGTGTAGTGATGAACACAAAAATCTATAGACAATCAGTGTGTGTGTGTTTTATAATAAATGTTACAGAAAGTGACAGGATAGCGATAGCGATGACGGCGACAATTTATAAAATAAATTATTACCCTAATACATCTATCTGTTTTATTTGTCATGTTCCTTCGTGATTACATTTTTTTATTTATTTCACACACAATTATAAGAGAAAAGTCTCAGATCGTTAATAAATCTTCAAAACTAAATTATCGGTCAGAAATATTTAATTTCCTGATATACTTTACTTAGTCTACGAGAGTAAAATTATAAACGAGAAGAATCGATCTGGAAATATTCCATTTCCATATCGAATAATTTCGCAACGTCACTATTTAGTACTTGTTATAACGTTGCAACACTGAAATTGTCAAATCTGGAATCGAATTAAAATTCCGAGTATAATGCATGCTTCTCATGCATGACAGTGCGGGTTTGAAACCTACCAGCGGCAAATACTAAGATTATTTAGACACCACAGATAAACAGTAAAGAAAAACATCATAAAGAAACCAGTGCCTTTAGCCAAACGCCACTTTAGCGCTTGTCTACAGAGAGAGTAGTAAACTAAATGTATGGGGATGACACTGACAAGTTTCAAAATTTACGTCAATTCCATATAATTTGGTTTTCTATTCTACATGTAGATAAGCGCTAAATGACATTAGGCTTCAGCTGCTGGGCTTATAATTCGCCAATCAGCATTAAGTAAGCGTGGTGATTAATGCTCAAACCTTCTCCGTGTGAGAAGACGCCTTTGCTCAGCAGTGGCTACTTATATGCTGTTGGTGATGATGATTCATTATTATCATTATAAGTCATCCGGTTGATAATTTTTAACAATGACCACAGAGGAACTTTGTCATAAACTCTACGATTAGCGGGCAACATGCGGTAGGTCTCCGAAAATTAAGAGGGTGCTGAGTTTATACTCACTTCCAAAATTATAGTCGAAATTCCTATTCAGATCAACCCCTATTGCATTTGCCGTGCCCCTCCTATTTTTTCTCCATAGACGATCCTATAATACAAAAATTGATGAATTAAGTATAATGACATTATGGCACTTAATGCCACTGAACAATATAACACCCACATTTCATTATTTATGTCATGAGTAGTGTAATAGAGGGTGAGCCTATTGCCATATACCGGACACAATTTCAAATTTCGTGATACTAGTGAGAATAAAAAAAAACTCCAGTTATACTATGCTCGATCCTGGATTTGGACTCGAGATCCCATTGAATCCCTTGCCCAGTCGCACTGCCTCACTCCGCCAACGAGGCAGTAAACTCATCAAGGTATATTACCTACTTTTTTAACTGATTTCCAAAAAGTTTTCCATTAAAATAAAAATTTGTCATTTACCTATTGCCTAGCTATAAGGCTTTAGGCAGATGCACCGCATTTCAAATACATTCAAACTGCAACGTGACTTGCAGGTCAAATTCGGTTCGTCTGTATATAGCCTAAAGTAAATTAGCTCACTGTTACATTACTATAAGATACACTTACAATCACTTACCGTCGTATGACTATAAAGATAACCATCAGGATTAACAACTGGTATCAAATACCAATCATACTTTCTACTCAAATCATGCAATCGGTAATTGCCAGTATTATTTTTTGCCACTAATTCATTAATGAGATACGTGACAAATTCGACCGAAAGCCACTCATCACCGTGGATTCCACCTTCGACGATAACTTTAAACTTGTTACCGGGTCTTTTTAGGCTGACGACGTTAATATCCCGGCCCTCAATAGATTTTCCGATAGAAGTCACCTCCATCACGTTAGGATATCGGACAGCCATGTCAGTTAACCATTGGTAGATATCCTCTAATCTGTGGTAATGGTACCATGTGTACGTGTCTGTATTTAAACGCATATATCTTGTGACTGTCTGTGCTTCAAATGCACTGAAAATAAAATGTTTAATATTGAGCACTTGATCATGATTGTAATGTCTAAAAATTTCATTTCAAAAGACAAGATTGCGACGCAAGATTTTTTTTTTTTTAAACGTTGCCCCACACTAGGATTTTCTCCTGTGTCGTGGGTGCCGTTTACAAACATACAAGTTCACATACACAATGACACCCAGACCCGAAACAACAATTTGTGGATCACACAAAGTGTTGTTCCGTGCGGGAATCGAACCCGCGACACGTTACACGGCAGCCGGTTGCCCAGCCACCGCACCAACCGTGCAGTCGATTGCAAGATTGTAATGGTATAATAATTTTTACTTATATCGAACTGGTATTTGTCAGAGGTTTTGCCCGCTTACTCATGAGACAAAAAGCTCCGTGTACAAACTATAATCTGGGATAGTTCCAAATTTTATCTCGATCCCTTCAGCCATTTGGAAGTGAATGAGTGATAAACATACACACAAATTCACTCAAAAACTTCACATTTGTAAATTACTAGCTTTTACCCGCGACTTCGTAAGCGCAGTCCCTTTTTCTCTTGTTCCCGTGGGATTTATAGGATTTTTTCTATCATAAAAACCTTCTCCTGACAATAACAAACACAACAAAAAAAAGATCAGCCAAATCGGTCCAGCCGTTCTCAAGTTATGGCGTGACAACGGGAAACGGGTTTCATTTTTATATATATAGATTAATACAATAGGACTATGAATTCAACAATACTTGTGAGCACTTTAAATTAAACAACTAAATACGTTTTAATAAGGTCTTAAATCCTATAGCATGTTTACCTATTAACATCAGTTAGCATCTCTTCAACTTTCATTTTAAAATGATATACCCTTTCCAGAAAATGCTCTTTGTCCCCAGGATTGACTATAAGCTGCACATCTTCGTACAACATAGAAGGTTTCCTCCAAAATATCACGTCCATGTACTTTTGTTTGTCCAAATTCAGCAGAAACTTCAAATGAACTGGCTGCGTTGGAACAGTGGAGTACAATGTATAATTGACATATTTCTTACTCTGACATATCCTCACATTATACAGAAGTATAACTATAATTGCTAAAGTTTTGGCGTTCATTATTTTTATTTTATTTACGATATAATTTCCATGTGCTTCAAGGTTTGATATCTGAAGTATGACGTGTTTGTTTCTTCTTCCAATGACATGTTAGTAAGCTTGTTATTCTATGTATGAAGGTCCTTCTACATTCTTTTTATTATAAAAAGTTTCTATCAGCCATAAATTATCGTTTGCATGCCTGTAAAAATATCCTTTTTTCAACGTCCTCGCTTGCGTATATCAATTTTGACATTTTTCTTCGGAGTTATATTAGTACGAGAGTCCATCTAGTTTAGTTTTAAGTTACATATTGCCCACTTTGATTTTGTAAACACAACTTTCACTAGATCTAGAGACTAGATCACACAGACTTACACTAAAGTTCGTCGAAATACGTGAAATATATTATGTTTGATATACCTACATTGTATTTTTAGAATATTTAGACGCCACTGACAAACGGCGAAGGAAACACCACAGAACACATTTTTTGTTTTTTAAGGGTGGAAAATCATCGAATGACTGCTCCCGCCTAGTGTCATACTCTTACTGACTAAAAGCCACCCCGTTCTTTCTCCTGCACGTCGAGCCGGAGCCCCGGTTACCCGTTAGATTCTCCGCGTCCGTTAGGTTTTCCGCGACACCACAGAACACTGAAGCTAGTGTTCTGTGGTGTTATATGTTCTGTGGAAAACATTGTGGGGAAAACCAGGCTAATAAATAAGTATAAAATCGCCAACCCTCATTGTGCAAGCGTGGTAATTAATACTCAAACCAAGACCGTGAGAGAAAGGGCCTTTGATCAGCAGTGGCTACTTATAGGCTGTTGATAGTGATGGTGACAAAAAAAAGAAAAAATATATCAAAAATGCAGACAATAACAGATACAACTTATACGTAGAAACACGATTTTACTGACATAACATATCATTATTACTACTTTATATCATTACTAGCTTTTACCCGCGGCTACCTCGCGTCACAAAAGGATAAAAAGTAGCCTATGCGACATACCAATACACACAGCGCCATCTATACCTATACTTTTGTTTTCCCTTGGGAATATCAATTTTTTTCTGGATAAAAAGTACCCTATTATTTAATCCAGACTTCCAACTTTACGTCTGCAAAAATTCAAAGCAATTGGTTTAGTAGTTACGGCGTGAAAGCAGAACAAACAAACAAACTCACTTTCCGATTTATAATATTAGTAAGGATTACTTTTATCCTCGAAGGGTAGGCAGAAGTGCACATTATGCAACTGTACAATGTAACACCCACGTTTAATTATTTATATCATGAGTCCCTTATAATAGGCGGTGAGCCTATTGCAATATACCGGGCACAATTCCAGACTCCTTGCTACTACTGAGAATTTTTTAAGAACCCAGTAGTACTTTGCCCGACTTGGGAATCGAACCCGAGACCCTTTGCCCGGCAGTCGCACTTGCGACTACTTGGCCAACGAGAGGAATACGTATAAAATTACTATTTTCTAATGTACAAAAAAAATTGAGCTCGGAATAAGCGCAAATCCACTTGAAGTAGGATTACTCTATAATTTCTCAAACGTTCCCTTTTATAGCATAAGTTTGGAATCCTTTTAAGTATCTGTCACTTGGAGTCGGGACAGCTGATTAAGAAGTTAAATAAAAATGTTGCCCACAGACGTGTAATAGGAAAAGTTTGTCCTGACTTCTCAACTTGGCAGTTTTAACTGATCATGCCTTTTGGGAGGTGTTGATTGGTTAAGCTACTTGTTTTATTTCTTTTTTATACTTACTCTGTTTTTTGATGAATCACATTTTTTTTTCAAATTATAATAATGATTATGTAATCAAATTGGAGACTGGGTTTTAAAATTTAATTTTTACCAATAAAAGCATGAGTATAGGTTTATATTACATATGACAAATTATTTTAATTTTATATGATGAGGTTTGATGTACTAATACTAGTTTATAAGTTGTAGATGTCTTTACTAACCATATGGATTGTATTATATGAATAAATAAATAAATTGAATTAAATTAAATGAAACAGATTAGTCTATTGTTTTAGGTTAGAATATCTACTATTTTAATATCTGTGACAATATGACTAGAAGTCCAACAGGGCTGATGCCGACACGGAGCCGCGGAAGACTTAACGGGTTGCCAGGGCTCCGGCTCGAAGTGTGGGAGTAGGAACGGGGTAGTTTTTAGTCAATAAGAGTCTGACACTCCCTTTCGCCTCACCTGGGCGGGAGAAGTCATTCAATGATTTTCCCCCTCAAAACATAGTCATATTTTAATACACTTTTCTTGTAAATTGGGTATTGCTTTTAGCCCGGCTTCATCAAATATACCTAAAAAAGTACTCAAAACCAGTTAAAATGAATAATATTTAAGATCGTATTTGGTTAGACCAATATAGAGGTAGCATTGGACGCATTGGCATTGCATAAACTATGCATGAAGTATCAAATTTTTATGGGATAGGTCGGCAAATGAGCAGACGAATCACCTGATGGTAAACAATTGGTGCCTTCCAGGGACATCCGCAACACCAGAGGCGTTAGAACTATATTGCCGACCTTTTGGAGTTAGAGATTGAAGGAATGAGGATTTGGGGATTGGGGTGAATGGAAAGGAGCCTCTGGTATTTCTTAATTATTACAACAAAAGTTGGCTTACTATAGCAAAACTTTATCTACCTACAAAATCCAGGACCACTAGTCAACTCTCACTTAAGGATAAACTACGGTGTCATAATTTAATTAAGTAAGTATGTATCTAGAGCTGCAGTTATCAAAAGTTGGACTCGTTAAAAGTTGTGTCATAATGAAAATAAGAGGATCAACTTTCGGGTGTTAGTTCAAGGAATAATGTAAGAACTAGCTTTGGTTAGCTCCAACAGAATGACGATTGTTTACGCTATCAATTGATTCACTCTTTTCTATTTAGTTCAGTCCAGTTCTAATAATGATGAAAAAGATTGTAAAGATGGAAAAGGGTTATTCATAATGTAATAACAAGGTATTCCTGTACATGTCCAGAGTCACTATTTCCATGACGAAATAAGATTTAAGTTCCAATAAAAAAACATCTACGTAGCACATTGTCCACTTTTACTTAAATAAATTTAAAATTGCCAATCTGCACGTGTATAACGTTCATCAGTGATTTTTTTTTAAGCGGGAAAATCATCGAATGACAGTGTCAGACTCTTACTGACTAAAAACCACCCCGTTCCTTCTCCTGCACGTCGAGCCGGAGCCCCGGTTACCCGTTAGGTTCTCCGCGACTCCGAATCGGCATCGGCCCTATTGAGCCCCATCTGTGGTGGTCTGATGGCTCTTTGAGGCGCGCGCGGAACGCGACGCGCCGTACGCTCGGGTCTGTTTCTGGTCGGACGGGGAGCCACCCATGCTCGCCGTCCGCAGGCCCGCGCTTACGGTGGCCGGAGATCGTCCCGCGATCCCCGACGCCCGGTGTGTCCTTCGCGATGGCTGGGTTGCGAGGAGGCAGCGCTTCGCTGCCTCACGCGTCCCGCCTCCTCCTTAGCTAGCATGACTGCTTCACAAAAGGAGGAGACGGCATCCCAATCCCCCTCGCTCCGCATCATGGCCTGTACTAGGCCCGGACGCGAGAGGTCGCCATCACCGATCACTTCCCTGAGGACACGGCGGTGCTCAGCCCAAACGTTCATCAATGATAGGGTAGTTATATTTAATTTTATTTCATTGTCCGCCTTGTAAATTTTAAAACATTAGACACGTAATTTTTCTTTTCTCACTAAATTAAATATTTTCGATGAATTATTATGATTAATTTGAAATATCATGACGTCACATCGTAACATATTGACTCCTAAACTTAACTCCATTTTGTCTAGCTTTATACTAGAAAATAAAAAAAATACGTGACTAATATTTTTCATAATCCAATTGACGGACTAATTAGACTTTTAATTTTTATACCCTGACAACTACCCAAGTCTCATTCTCACTGTTCATATCTTATGCAGAATAAAATGATAAATATTTTCTTTTCAAATCTGAAAATCAAACACAACGAATCATACTCGGTATCTTCTTATTCAGTCCAATCAATCTATCTCTTTTTTTGCTTCCATAGCCTATATCTATCTCTCTCTCTTCATAAAACAATATGTCATGAGATAATAGAATATTATATCACAAAGCTATATTATTCGTCTCAAGATAAACGTTCAATATCCCCCTTTATTACAAGATCAGTCTAATTATTATTAAAATATACAAAAAGCCCAATCCCCCTTAAGTGGTGGGGAGTGTGTCCCAATTGCCTTGGATTTATTGTTAGCCCATAAATCTACTTGCCTTTTTCTGCTCCATTAAATATCATGGAAAATATCTAATAAGGTGGAATAATTTTTGCGAAAACTTGATATAAGGTATCTGTTCTATTTTCTTTGGGTCTTTCATTTATATTAAAGGTAATATTTTGATGCTAGTTATGTAAATGCGTATGAAGTGAGTTCTATTTATCAATGTCTACTTTTGTATTGCTCAGATCTGTTTTTACTGCGTCGTCCTACACTAGAAAACAGTTCAATCCTAGATATCATTGTTTTTGTGACATATTTTTTAAAGTAACATAACATAACACCATGCCTTGTATCCCCGAAGAGGTATGCAGAGGTGCAAACGGCATTTAATGTCACTGTATAATGTAACACCTACTTTTCACTATTTATGTTGAGTCCCATGTAAATGGAGGTGAGCCTATTGCCATATACTGGGCAGAATTCCCCGTGCTACTACTGAAAACTTAAAAAAAAAAACAGTAATACTTTGCCCGACCCGGGAATCGAACCTGAGAGACCCCTTGCCCGGCAGTCGCACTTGCAACCACTCGGTTAACGAGACAGGCGCTTTTTTAAAGTTAGCACCACAATATTTTGGTGGCTTTATTATAAACACACACTGACATGTTAATAGTTGTTAGTCAATTGAAACAAAATTAAAATTAACGACTAACAAAAAATGCCCCAAACGCATTTTCAATTAATAACCTAAA